CACACACACACACACACACACACACACACACCCACACACACACACACACACACACACACACACACACACACACACACACACACACACACACACACTATGTGATTGATCAGCTGCCATGGCAACATAAAGCTGCACCAGGCTACACTTTTAATGGCAACATGTTTACTAAAATGTCCTCCGTGTGTGTGAGAGCGTGTGTGTGCTCGTCAACATCCCCATTTTCTCAATTTCAACTTCCCCTCCCAGCTTAGTGATGTACATCACCTACGACAGCTTTGATCTATGAGTTTATTTGATCTTAGAAGTTTCATAATTTATTGGTAAGTAAATCATATGAATGCAAGTAGATGGTAGTAGAAGGAGGCTGCAGATGGTGTCTGATTCATTCATCAGTGGGAGTGACTCAGTCAATGACTATTATGTCAGCAAAGCCGTCACAGAGAGGGCTGCTGTGATGGAGACCAGGCAGAGATCCTTATTAGGGAGCGGGATGTGTTGGCTCCACTCTGGGTGATGCAGGGCATGGAGAGGCTGTCCTTCAGCTGGAGGCCCTGGGTTCAAGTCACCAGCTGTATCGAAGTGGTTTTGAAAAAGATACTGAACCTCAAGTAGCAGCTACAGAGCTGGTCTGACCTTTGGACTTACAGTAAAAAAGAGGTGATGCCCAATGACATAACATGCTCTTTTGCAATTTGACGCATGAAATGGAATATATCATAGTGGCTTTATATTCATCAAGGCAAGATCTAAGCCTTTTAAAAGCATTTGTAATGATATTAGGAATGAACCATAAGATCATGGGTATCACTGATGGGAGTGAGAATACCAATACATCTTTTGGTATTTGTTTTATTTAGTATTTATGACAAACAGTGCTTTTTCGCCAGTAGCTACTAGGATATGTTAAAAATGGTCATTCTTAAATGCTACCCTTGAATGCATCGGCATCAGTGCGGAAAACACAATTTTTAATATGACTAAGCCACTGCAACTGCAAGCAGTTGTCTTGGTTCAAGGCAAACAAGAATAAAAAGACGCCAACTAGACGAGAACATGTATGGTTGCATATATAGTGAATGCTTAAGGGATACTGACCACAGCAAGACCTACAGTCTATGGGAACAAACTGCACATTTCCACTTGGAGCTGTAGGAATGGCAGATAGTTGCTGTTGCCAAGAACCCTTGAGCAAATGTCAAAAGATCAAGCATCAACTGAATCCTTTGTCTATCATTAATTATTTGACTTACTAAATCTACAACAACAATACAATTCTATAAATATTTCTTTTATTTGACTAAATTGATGTATTGTCTTTGAGCAAGGGCTGATTTTCAAGTTGTCTAGTGATGCAGACAAGGCTAACATGAATGTTAATATACTACAAATGGCTAAGATGTTGACCAAGAAGAAAAATGGTGTGTGTGTCGGTATGCATATGTGAGTGTGTGTGTCCTCTCCTGTTCCACATGTCTCACACACACAACTTCTCTTTTCTCTCTCTGCTTGTCATTCCTTGACATCTCTTCTGTAAGCCTACCTCACCTCTCTGGCTCACTTTCCCTTGCCTCTTGCTCCAGGGAGCCACCCACACCAATTGGCAGACAGCGTATGATCCTCTCTCACACACACACACACACACACAATCTCCTACACCATATAGTGCAGTTGACTGCGAGCTGAAAGTACCATCTTGTGTGTGTGTATATATACACCGAGTCCAGAAGGCCCTTGAAATATGCACAGCAGTCCCATGCATAATACATGGGCACAGCAGGAGAAAAGAACTTGTGAGCCGAGTGGATCTCCACCTCTCCATCTCCCCCCTCCACCCATCCTCCTCTCGCCACCCCACTGTCTGCTGCTGCTGCTGTGCATATGTTTTAAATAACAGCCGTCTCTCAGGGTCATTTGTGGGTCAGAAATGATGATGGAGGGAACGCATGAGGGCAGGAGAGATAGATGGATGGCTACAGGAGAGGGAATGAGGCGAGACTGCACGGTCACAAAGAAAGACAGGCGTTTTTATGCATAGCAGAACTACGTGATAAGAAGAGAAAGGAGAGCAATGATTCAGTGTTTTCCCTGCGCCGAGGCCTGACCGCCCAGCAGTGACAGGACATGCTGACTGTCAGAAGGTCAGACAGGCTGCAGGAACCACAGCATGCTTAGCTGTGCTAACCTACCAGGGGTTTTGTCATTTAACTCCAGAAAGTGAGGTGATCTGCCCAGGAAGCAACTGCTGCACGGCACACATAACTTAAGACCCTTATTAAGTTTGACAATCTGCTTTGGTGTCTCCTTTTTCTTTTCTTTCGGTCTTTGTCTTCCCCTCCTGCCTCGATTGGACTCCTTTGTTTACTTCTGTAACATAGTGACGTAACACTCGCTCTTCTATTGGCAAGCATTCCAACACATTATAGGTGATAGGCTAACAGGCAGGACATATGTAAGCGGTTGACAAATCAGAGCAGACTGGGCTCTGGTTTCAGACAGAGGGTGAAAAGAGGTGCTGCAGCACAGGCAGTGTGAGAAAAACAGAGCTTTTTGAACATTAAAGCATGGAGACATGTCCCAGTAGAGGCAACAAATACAAATGTGCCTCTTTAAAACAAACCATCTGCATCATTATTACGCATGTCCCAATTAAGTAGTTTTTGCCCCGATTCTGAACCAAGTTTTTAATATGCTGTATGTCTGCAGATACAGTCTGATCCCATTCTGATTAAATATGTATCTGACACATTGAAATAACAGCTGCAGCCTACTTCATCTGATGCACATTATTCACAAATAACTTGATCCAAATAATGAAGGGCATGCTTAAAGCAGGGGTGGGGAACCTTTTTCCTCTCAAGAGCCATTTACATTTTTTCAACATCCTTATAAATGATTGATCTCTGCTTAAAAATACTAAAATCACAGCCCATTCATTTCGCCTTCCTTTCATGCTGTGCAAAGAAAAAGCAACTTCTTAATCCAGATATCTCACCATGACTCACGCATGCACGTGCACGGTTGTGGCATGACCACCCAAACAGAAAGATATGGACATGTGTGTGCAAATGTATTTAGTTTCCTATCCATGTGAACATATGCCATACATCTTTGCATACATTCACAGTAAATATGTATTCAGTATGATAGCTGTCTAACAGAAGTTAAATTCATTTCTCACTTATTCTGACAATGTACTTAACCCCAAATAAAAGAACACAATAAAAAGAGTTGTTAAATAATAGTGAAGTCACGTTGTAATAACAATAACTCATCTCTCTCTCGTTTTATTTTTCAGCTTTGCCAAAAGCCACTGTGTCAAGTGTCCTTCCTGAGTTGCCGTCCGGAGTTGTCCAATATGGCGGACCATCTCGCACATGCGCAGTACAGATCGGGCAGGGGGACGGATCGGGTAGTGACAGCGTGTACGCAAATTGACGTGCTTGATGTGAACGAGCATTTTGGTTAAAGTTGCGCATGCGCTATGAGCGCACATACGGGTACTTCTCAGGCATGCTGGGTAATCTGTGACGTTTCACCCTCTCAAAAGTTGGGCCATTTTATCATCATGCGCTAATGAGCAGCTCTCATAGGAATGAATGAGGCCCCGCCTCCCACGCTGTATCCAGTTCTTATTATACATCCATGGTGCTCTCCGGCAGAACTGCACCCCTGTCAGACGAGACATATACTACGTGATGACACGTTAGGCTCGTGTTGTGTTCAAGGACCCTGACCTGGGCCAGGAAAAACAGGCACTCGCTTGTTTAATTCTTTTGCGGTCTAGATTTCTTTAATTCTTTTCTTTTTTGAGTGTGTTTATAAATTACCTCGAGGGCCGTACCAAATGGTCTCGCGGTCCGTATACGGCCCGGAGGCCGGAGGTTCCCCACCCCTGCTTTAAGGTATGAATGGAAGAATTTGTCTCCTGGAATCAGCTACAGAGAAGATCACTGTTTTTAACCAGCCATCAACTTACTCACAATTGATGTTATTTAACAACAGCTATTATGACAAGACACAAGATATGTTGGTCATTTTAACCGCTGAAATTGGTGGTATGCGCAGTCTAAAATGAAAAAACTGCTTACATAATGTTTTTATAGTGATCTTTGCTAATGAGAAAGAGTGAGGAGAAATAACAGCTTCATTACCATCAGAATTTAGTATATTTTGCTACTCCAATCACCGGTGCAACTAAATCAATTTTCCCATTCACACACACTCATTTCCACTGTTTGGCTCCACACCCTGGCTGCAACACTAACAGGCTGAGGTAGACACAACACAGCAGAGTTCTGCTTGCTCTGGACAACTCTAATTGTTATTATTTCATCAATACATCTTATCTAGCATTATGAGAAATACTATATTTTTCATAGCCTCTGCCAGGTACACTGCAGTCCAATGCACCTGCACAGTAGCAAATGCACACTTAACTCCTATAGCATAGCATATAATTGCATGTTTTACCCTAACATTTACTGTAAGTGTACATACTCCTCCTCTGTGATATTGACTATAAATATATTAGCACAATAAATAAAAAAGTGTGTATCCCGGTAGGAAAATAATAACTATAAAAGCACCTTCATTCTGGCCCAGTGAAATCATATTAACAGTCCTCATCATCAGATGAAGATAACTCAGTTGATGGAACTGTAGATGTTGTGAATAATGAAAACTAGGCAAAACTTATCTGCTGATGCAGACTGTGTGATACATTTTTCAAATCTGGCACAGGATCATACGCGAACCTTGAGGGGAGATTGTTTTATCAACAACAGTTTCAGGGTCAGGAGTGAACGGTCAAGCTAAGAGGTTGTTCCAACTGCATGCTTATTATGCAAAGACATCAATTATCACAAATGACCACCAAAGCTAAAATAATGATGACTATACTGCAACAGTAGAGGCACTGGCACAAAGTGGATGATGCTCTGAACCTGCGAAAAGAACAGGAACAAACGGGTCACAGAAAGGAAGAAGAGCAGGTGACTTACGATGAGACGTTTGAGGCCCGTGAAGGACTGCTCCACAGAGTTGGCGGTGAGGACCTGACGCTTCATTGCCGCCGCTTCTCCCAGGAAACGAAGCATTAAGTCTTTAACAGCATCGCCCTGCAGCAAAACACAGACACATGCATTTAACATCATGAAATAGCACATAATAGAAGTGCATATGCCTTAGTCATGTCATGCTAAAAGAACCTGAAAATGACATGCAGGATTTAAAATATCAGTACTTTTTGAATCAACAATAAAGCCGATTGGGGCAATTTTCTTTTAATAAACTTAATCTGGACATCCTTAGTTCTGGATTTAAAAACAATCAGTTAAAAATATATTCTGCCCAAATAGGAAAGAAAAGAAAACAGGTTCAGAATACTCTTTAATCCAGCTTTAGAGTGGATCTAATTTGTTTGCTGAAAATGGGCTTTTAGTAGGCATAAACACCAAGATGATGGAAAAAAGAAATCCTTGATTTGTATTCATTTATTCAGGCAGGCATTCAAACACACTGAGGAGGATAATGAACACAATCTAAGCTGGGAGGTGGACGTACACCATCACATTTAATTGAATAAATAAGTGAATTGATGTTTCATCACTCAAGAGTTGTTATTACAAATACATGTTACTGTTGAAGGAGCTCAGAGGGAGTTTATGAGGGAAAAAAACATGACATGGTGACACAATAGCCAATGAAGAGTGTGTGTACGACTGCTTGTTGATGAGTGGCAAGTGTCCACACGCTGCCTGTTGTGCCAGAGCATCATTTGAGAAATGTGTTAAACCAAATGGATGATCATGGTGGAGCCCAAGCCTTGATAAATGCCTTACCTTTAACATTAGAAGATTTTAAACATGTAGCTACAATCTTTACACAAATGACCGTGTCACTACTATTGTCATGTCCTAGCTGCTTTTCATGAAGAATGTGATAAGAGCGTTGTGCTGAAATATAATACTGCTAGAGCTGAAGCAATTTATCGATTGATGTATCGTCACAATCGTTACACCAGCAACCATTTTCTCTTCTCAAGTGTTTTGCTGCTTTTCTGTGTTCATAAATATTAGAATGAAATTGTTCTTAATGGTTGTTTGGAGCAGACACGGCATGTAAAAGTGTCTCAAAACTTGTGAGGGTATTTTTATTTAACTGTTTTTTACCTGACTTTAAGTCCCTAGTATAGAACAAGCTTCAAAAACACTATCTGACATTTCCCATGATGCAGACAGATATAGCCAGGCATATATGGGCTACTACTATCATATTGAGTTTGTATGAAATTATGTTTTTGTTAAACGAATGTTTAATATGCATGATAAATAATTGTTTTGCGACAAGCCTGAACCTGAGCTGTTTGATGTTGTTATACTGTGCCATCAACTCAAGCTAGCCATTTTTCAGTAGCTACTTTCACCAGCATGTAGCAATACTTTAGGAAAGTAAATATGCACATGCTTCTCAAACCTCAGTGTTAAAGCCCTGGTTAACAGCCTATATAACAGCTCTCAAAACTTTCCAAAGAAATATGTTGTCTGAAGTCTCACCTGAAGGTTGTCAAACTTGAGTCCGGGCATAGTGAGTCTGGTGGTCTCTACATAGGCAGGGCTGTACTGCTGGGTGGCCACAGAGATCAGCAACTTCCTGGTCTCCTCAGATGGCAGCCAGGAATCATGGCGCCGGTCCACCTCACTCAGGCTCAGCGCTGTCGCAAATGGGTCATCACTGCCCGAAAACACAGCCTGGAGCGTGTTGAAGGGCTGCGGCTGAGGGGCTGGGGCAGGGGCTTGAGCTGGGGCTTCTTGGGATGGAGGAGGTTGCGCCTTGGTGGTGGATTCAGATGGGGCAAACACTGAACTAGGAGTGGGAGCACCAGAGTCCAGAGCTCCACCGGGGTTGGAGATGGAGGAGGAGGTGGAGGAGAGCTGGCGCTCAGGGGTGGGGGCTATGGACGCTGGGGTGGCACCAGGAGGGATGTCAGCATTTGGGTTTGAAACAGAGATGAAGGAGGAGGGGACAGTGAAGGAATCAAAGAAATCTGAGGCTGGGTTGACATGTCCGTTATCATTGAAGAACTTACTGAGGCTGGGGCTGGGCTGGCACACGAGGGGGGCCATCAGCTTGCTGGGGGTCACTGCCTCACTGGTTTCTACACCGCTCCCCATGCTAAAACTGGGGGACTTGATGAGGGTGGGCTGGAATCCATCGGGCACCAAAGACTTTGGATGGGTGCCATGGCTGAATATAGTGCACACCGGCACAGAGTAATCTTTCGTCTCTTGAGCTTCTAGTAGTGACGGTTCCCCACTGTTGGGATCAGACGGGCTGTGCTCGTCAACTTGGAGTGAAACACAGGATATCACCTGCTCCTCAGTGTCTGTCTGCTCCCTGGTTTCTTCATCCACTTTCTCCACAGAGCTATCCTTCTCCTGTTCCTCCACTGTAACTTCAATCTCAGTCGTATTCTGACCTATTTCACCTTGTTCCTCTTTGTCGACTGATGTCTCGTGAAAATGATCTTCCTCCTCCACTGCATCTAGAAAGGAGTCCATGGGGGCTACGTCGTCGTCGTCGTCCTCCTCCTCACTGTTGTTAGGCGAGTCAGAAATCAGGACGCTCTCCATCATCTGGTCATTTAGCTTGTCCATCAGGCTCTCTGAAGGTGTAGCACTGCTGTCTTCCTGGGGGGTGGAAAACTCCCCGCCCAAGTCGATGCTCTCTACCTGGGGAAGGAGATTTTCTCTGAGTGGGGTTTGGCTGATGGTTAGCTTTGGAGGGTCTGGGCCTGGGGCTTCAGCGGTTGCATCTTCCACTGTGATCTCCAAGGTGACTGGCCTCTGAGCAGGAGCCTCCTCACTGTCCATCTTACTGCTCCTGAAAAATCAAGAAATGCCTTTTGATGTAATGTAAACTGTGACAGACTCATACTCTCTGCGTAATTGTACAACACTGTGCAGCATTTTTCTCAATCACTTCCTGTCAACATAGGTAAACGCTATTTTTTACGAGCTCTAGTCATCGTCATTGAGCTTACGTTCACAGTTACATCTGGAGATAAACGAGTCAGCTTCAGCTCTTTTATCCGTGCTTAACGTCCTGTCACGAAAGAGCCGTTAGCAGATATATCGCAGGTTCGCTGTCTGTGTATTACTGGCTATCTGGCTAATGCTACATTAGCCGGTTGGCTATCAAGCTATTTTAACTAAGCAGCTGGTTGCAAATGTAGAAAACATGCTCGACTCATAGCTCTCCTCGTTTTAAAAAGCACGAAACATACTACCGCGATATTCTTATAAAACCGAAAAGGCAAACAACAAATACAAAACTGAAACAAACACGATTATGTTCTTACCTTACTGCACTGACAGATATACATATACTGCGCATGCGCAGTTCCAAAGGAAAGCTGCATCTACGGTATTCAAGAGCAGACACATTTCATGACGCTGATATTTTGTATTCCCGACGTTTTTTACGTAACTTTAAAAACCTTTAGAACGTTGCACGGCTGTCGTTACGTAGTTTAGTCCTAGGCTTCGTTCTTTCCAATTCTGAATCGCGGAAGTGGATCAACTGTGTTGTGTTTGTGCAGTACGTGGTTCAGATGCAGTATTTTTGTAGTGTTTTGACCGTGAGACGAGGTTTATAAAACACAAATAAAACGCTAAGAAAGCTCTGGGAAACAGACTGAAACATGGAGGACGACGCTCCTGTCATTTATGGACTCGAATTCCAGGTACTGTCACCATTCATTATGTGTTTACCATAGACTGTATATTTATATATTTATGTTTACCCGGCTGAAAGCTTTACTCCATTCTGTATACTTCTAAGCAATTCTCTGATCTATTGTACAGTATGAATATTATTTTATTAGTCGTGTTATTTTGTATCATATTGCAGGCACGAGCGCTTACAGCCCAGACAGCTGAAACTGATGCCATCCGTTTCCTTGTGGGCACACAGTCCCTAAAATTTGACAACCAGGTAAGAACAATTCTTAATGACAGACATGTCATTCCATTTACAGCAATAGGAAGGAAGATGTCTGCAACAGAAGGGAACTCCTATTTTACTTTACTTAGTTCACAGCAGTAGTTTGTGTCCCCAAATCCCAAATGGCTCTTTATAATAATAGGAACAAGTATCCATGATGCTGCATCTCCTCTGCTCAGTAGTTGTAACAATGGACTCGACCATAACATATGTGTAGAATTTAAAATGAACATTAAGGTAAAATGCAGGTAAACAGGAAAAGTAAAACACATACATAAGATCCAATACACCTTATCATTATTTTTCAATTAAAATATGTGATTCCGGCTTATTCTAGATACTGTTCAACTACTGTGAAATAAGGTTAACTTGGAGTTATTTTTTTCATGTGTTAAATGTTTCTGAAAGTTAGTTTCTTTTGAGAGTGGACATAAGGTATTAAGATTTCAGAAACATTAGTTTGACACTAAAGTGGAAGGAGTAAACTTTCTCTTTTCAGTTTGCTTTCCAAGGTTATAAGGTCTCACAAAAAAGTAGTCCAATAGGGATTATGGGATTTTAATTAAACGTTTTTGAAGGGTTTTAAATGTAAATGTATTTTTATTCAATGGCAGATGTCTAATTTATTTCCGTCGTTGGTATAACACATACAGATGAACTGAATGAACAAATTAATAACCTTCTCTAGGTCAGAAGCAGGCAGACTTGTTTTTTAATATCTGTTAAATGTGAAGCGCATGACCAAATGCACATGACCAAATAACCTCTTGCATTGCATCTCAATTTCAAATTAGATGCATGATAGTAGTCAACATTATGACATGGAGTTTAAGAGGCCAATTAGAAGAAGAACAAAATCAGATCATACTGGAGTTGAAAAAAGTTTGAAGAAACTTTTTTGTTTGTTAATGTTAAGACCTGAAGCTAAGATTCAACAGTTCTGATTTTAGTCAGGAAATGTATTCAAGGCAATCAGGATTTGAGTGCAGAAAGATTCCGGTATGTATTCAAGAGTCTTGTTGTCATACAATAGGGTTTGGTCCTGCAAATTGTAAAAAGGTTACAAATGCTTGAATAGACCCAAAAGGCCAACAAGATCAATATGCTGTGAGGTCAACGATGACCCCTTATCATTATTACCAGTAATTGCAAATAATGGTCAATTGTGGCTCCCTCTACAATACATGACAAATATTTAAAAGCAAAAAGCTGAAGAAGCTTTGTACTTATCAATGAATGTCAAATAAAATAAAATACATTAAAGACCAAAACTTAAGAACATACCTGACAACTGTTACCTTGTATTGCTGGTAACCTTTCCATGTCCATTCATTCTGTTCATTGCCAGTCCTAAAGCAACAATAGCCAGGGTTGTCTTTAAGTGCACATTGGATAACATTTATTTATTTTTTGCCATTTTTGCAAATAACCCAGGATGTTGTGGTTATATTTTATGAAGTGTACCCACTTGGACATCAAGGCGATCTGGATAAAGGTCCCATGGAAATGTTCCATGGCCCAAGTTTACATCATGATTCATAATGTAGACTCATTTAAACCAGAGAAAAACAGCAAGATCTGCTAGAAACACATTTAAAATGTGAGGTTTGTAACATTGTTGCTCGACAAAATCAAAACGATTAAACCGCTGTTATTGTCTTACTTAATTTGTTGCTCTAAAAAACCTCATAACACAGAGAAAATTAATCTTTAAAGGGGCCCTATTAAGCTTTTTAGAGCAGACAGGGCTCTGGTTTCAGACAAAAGTCGAAAATAAGTGCTGCACAGGCAGTATGAGATAAATAAAGACCTTTTCAAACATTAAGCATGTAAACATGTCACAGTAGAGGCAGAAAATACAATTAGGAAACCTGAAAATGGGCATAATAGGGCCCATAAAAAAAGAAAGAAGAAGAAATAAACGGGGTAAATTTAATAAGTTGCAATCAGTGTTTACCGTGTTTGACTGAATATGACAAGAACACATAAACTCATGGGAATATTGTTGGACTAATTGTCTGTTAATTGACCCATTCTTTAACGATAAGCAGTTTATCAGTTATCAGAATTCTTGACTTTTGTGTCAGGATTTTGAAATTCTCTTTATCAACTATTTGTTTCAGATAGATAGGGACTTCAGGTGTAGCCGAGGAGCCGCAGTCCGACCCTCAACTGCAACTGCTAGAGTTATCGTTAATAGCGGAAATATCTGTTGCATATTGTGCATCCATGTTGTATGGTTTCTTTGCCTGTATTTCTGAGTGTTGGTGAGGGTTTTGTGCTGTGAGAGTGCTTGTAGGAGAAAAAAGATAGAGAGTGGGGTGTGTGCATGCATGCACATCTTGCAGAGGTCATTACAGAGACAGATGACAGAAACAGTTGGCTCTAAACGGGGAGAAATAATTAGCTCTCTGAGAGAGAGATGGAGAGAAAGTGAGAGAGAGAGAGAGAGAGAGAGTGAGACACACACACAGATGTACAGCATTTCTGCCTTGAAGAAACAAGCCTATTTCTCTGGCAGACTGCAGTGTGAAAACGGTCTGCCACTGAATACAGACGTAGTTCAATCCAAGTGCTGTGTAGCGAGTCTAATACAGAGCTTGTTGGGAATAGTGACAATACAGCACAGTCGATCTGTGTGATTTCTTATTACACTCTGACAGGAGCTTAATATACTCTTCCTAACACTTTCACTATTCTGGCATTAGTGCAAAGCTGAGACACGAGAGAATCAGAAGCAAATTGTTCAATAGTAGGGTGAATAATCACAGGACAGTCACTCGATTTACGTAATGAATGGTCTTATTACTCATTATTAATCGATTTACCTTGAGGCTAGTGTAGACTTTCCAATTCTGTGATGTCTCAGCTGATGGCCAAAACGTTGGTCTTAGGTCGCACAGTAAGTGGTTTCCAATCTGACTCTACCTAGCCTTTTTAGATGCTGAGGTATTCGGTATGTGAACTCAAGATCCACTTAAGAGGGCATGGTTTTCATTCACAATTCCCAGCAAAAGCAACGATACGCCTGTATCTTCCTGACTTTAATGTTTGTTTCCAACTCGTTACCCAGCTCTGAAGGGAGCCAGGTTTAGAACTTTTCACTTTTTACTACGCCTTTGAGTACGGCCGCTCGGAACATCTAAAGATATTGGACAACGTGTCGTAGAAACTAGTTAAGTATAACCCAACACTAGATTGGTCCAATAACTGTCACAGTCTAAGCCTCAATATTCTTTAAAAACAAAGTTCTTTAAATCGACACACGGCCCCTGAAAATCCCTTTCCAATTGTAGTTGTGTGTAACTTTCTAATACAGAAAGTTCCATGGAAGTTGTTTGGATATTTTCCTAAGTTACATTTTAGGGCTAGGATCCACATCATTGCACACCAACATCTCTCAAACTGATTAGATCCATCTGGCACATCCAACATCTCTCAAACTGATTAGATCCATCTGGCACATAATGCAAATAACTACTAAATTGTTGCTAATTCCTTTAGTGCTAATAGAATGATGTTTCTTTTGGATAATACCTATTTATTATTTTTAATAAATTGTTTTACTTAAGTTGTTTACTTTAAAACAAAGCAAAATCAATCCATGTAGTTAAGTGTAAAGAAAACGAACTTTACGGACTTTTTCTTAGATTTATGTCAAAGAGCATTCGAAGCCGTGAATCTAATAGGGGTCATTATTCATCTTTTGGGCCATGTTCTTTGAGATGACCCTACATTTGACTCAGTCAGAGCGGTCCGTTTTATTCATGAAGCTCATTGTCTTTCGCACTCTGCATAACTTTGCTGGCCAACATTGGTGAGCTCAATTCGTCTAAGTTTGAACTTACATTGTGAAAAATGTTTTTCCGATGGGCATTTCAGCGCTGATTGCTCCTGCTGTATCCATAAGCCTGCTGGCCTCTCCACCTCCCATTAAGCATAATGCAGGGTGGAAATGTCTCTCTTAACTCGCAGAGCACCTCTCAAATCCCTCAGAGACCAATAGCAGGAATGACAAATAGGAGGGCACGTCGGCATGGCATTTAAGGCTGCAAACGAGATAAAGCGCCCGAGCTTGGCACCTCTCACACGCTCGCTACTCCTCCACCCCGCTTACTGTCATCTGTGCGGCTAAAGAGCTTTAGTGGAGAGGACCCTGAAGTAGGAGGGGGGGGGGTGTGAGAGCCAGCTTGGCTTTATCCTTCCCTTACCCCCTCTTCCTGATCTCCCTCTCCCCTTTCCTTTCCTCCATTCCTCCCAACATCGGCACATAATTAAAAGTGCCGGGCTGGGTGCCCAAGTGGCTGAAGGCTATGAGTCACTCCCCAAGCCTGGAAGAACGAGGGATAAATCACCTGGGGGAGGAGGGCTAGAACTTCTCTATCCTCTCA